AAACAGCTCCCCATTGGACCTCCTCCATGACCCCCACCATAACTGCCATGACTCCCCGACCCTGCCCCAACAAGATCGCCAAAGACTCCTGCTTTGGATTGCGGTTGCTGCATAAGTTGGCTATACTTCATCGCCGCCAGGGCATTTCTGTTTCGATAAAATCTGCTCATTTTCTAAATCCAGACATCTTTCAGTGACAGCAAGATAGAAATTACATTTGGTCTATTTTTACATGTTTATTAAGATAAAGTAAGGCATAAATTTGATGATTTTTCAAGCCCGCAATCTCATTTTCATTCATTATGGCCCCCCTTCCAAACTAACAAATCTTAATCAAATAATAAATTATTTTTTTGTTGAACTATGTTAAGACATACATAAAACCTACAGAGTTGATAGGGGTAAGGAATTTAGCCACAAGCTCAAACTTTAACATCCGTATATATCATTGCAACCTGATGGTGTAAACCTTTTGATTTTGGGTTGTAAAGATATAGAAATTAGAAATTCAGTCTCCGCAGTATCTCTTGTATTCCTTATATATTCTCTGTTTATTTCATAGTAAATGCTTAAACTTGTCCAGCAATTAGGAAAGCTTTTAAGTCACAAATAAAGAAAAAAAAATGTAGCTAACTTAATTATTAAGGTTGTCATATTTAGCAAAAATAATTCAGAAATAGTTTATTTATATTGATAAGAATGCCTTTTAGAAAATGAATTATTTTAAATGTGTAAAGGTTATAGAATCTTTTTATGTTTTTTTAGATGGGCTAGCAGGTATAAAGCTTTAGTATTTCATGCTTATATTAGTAAACATCAAACATAGGGGACTGGTCATGCAACAGAGGTGAAAATTTATGAATTAAGCCTAACTTAAACCAAGGTGTTTCAAGTTTTAAAAATTTTTCTGAAAAGGTTTTGAATTTTCCTTAATTTAGGCTTCTCTGTTTTCACTTATTCATAAATTTCAATATCTGGCCACAGAAAGGAATAGATTGTATAATGCATATGGTTATTGGTTACCCAGAAAGAATAAGATTTTAAAGACGACCTGCAACCTCTTTAATTCTTAAGTTTGGATGTTTATACATAGTTTTATGGTTTAAAAAAAGTCTGCATCACAAAATGGCTCTCCGAAGGCCAAAGGTTGAAATCTACCAATATTGTAAAGCATCTATAAAGTCTCATCCTTTGTGTTTGAGCCTGTATCTAGTTGTACCTATAAAGAATATAGTTTGCAGTACATCTACAATAATACTGGAGTCAGATCTCTTTCTTCTCCTACCCGCTGCTGTGATTGCAGTGTATGTTAGGTATGCAAGTCCAGCTCCTGTTAGGTAAACCTCATCAAAACAAACCTCCCCCTACTTAATTTTTGTTTGGTATGATGTTTTTTATTATTTGAATTCCATATCTATTAAATTACATATCATTCCACGTTAAACTAATGTAAATTACACGTTAAATATAATTCTTATATGATTTCAAACATTACTACTCTTATAGAAGATACATTGACAGAAATGTGTGTTATTTTTTTGCAGATTCTAAAAGTAGAGCACAAGAGCTTTCCAATGATGTATCATTTGTCATATTTGGACATTAAACATGGGATTTAGAGGAGGGGATCAAATTGACCCCCCCAGCCTATCCTGGTTTTCAAGTACCCCAAGTTAAATTTCTTATACTTAACTAAATAAATTAGTTTTACTAATACTTTTGCGTAAATCGAAACTAGAGAAGCTAAAAAGTTACAAAGTCGTACCGTACTAGCAATGTTGAATATATTTGACCATCTTAAATGTGTTAGTCCCTATATCTTTGCAACCTAATTGTGTAAACCTTTCATATTATAAACGTACTATTTGATCTAACATCATTTATTATTTGAAATATCAAAGGTTTACAACGTCTGATCAACTTAAATCAAAATGTGTGGCAAAAACTCAATTTTTTTGTACATTTACTTATTTCGGTAAGTTAAATTTTACAAACTAAATATCAATGTTTTTTAAGAGTGTATCATCATATCAAAATACTATCAACCTATCCCTTGTATGTGTATGTATTTGTGAAAACAAAGACTGATTATTTTTGATGAATTTCCTAGAATTGCCACAAACATAAAAAACATGTTTCCATCAACATGGATTTCACAACTATCACCCCCTCCTCCTCCTCCTCTACCCTCTACCTAGAGATGGGCGTATTCGGCTTTTCAATTCATGTGTATATCGTTCGTTTTTGCATTTCGTTCGTTTCGTTCATTTCATTCAATCGTTTTTCAATAATTCAGTAAAAGTTTGAATTTTTCGTTTTCAGAAGGATCGTTTAACGTTCCATATTTTACATTTGTTTTCTAACAATCGTTTAGTAAGATGGTTCGTTCAGTAAGATAGTTCGTTTTATAGTAAGATGGTTCGTTCAGTAAGATGATTTGTTCAGTAAGATGGTTTGCTTAGTAAGATGGTTCGTTCAGTATAATGGTTTGTTCAGTAAGATGGTTCGTTCAGTAAGATGGTTCGTTTAGTGAGATGGTTCGTTTAGTAAGATGGTTCGTCAGTAAGATGGTTTGTTCAGTAAGATGTTTTGTTCAGTAAGATGGTTTGTTCAGTAAGATTTTTTGTTCAGTAAGATGGGTTGTTCAGTAAGATGGTTTGTTTAGTAAGATGGTTTGTTCAGTAAGATGGTTTGTTCAGTAAGATAGCTTGTTCAGTAAAATGGTTCGTTTAGTAAGATGGTTCGTTTAGTAAGATGGTTTGTTCAGTAAGATGTTTTCTTCAGTTAGATGGTTTGTTCAGTAAGATGGTTCGTTCAGTAAGATGGTTCATTCAGTAAGATGACTCGTTCAGTAAGATGGTTTGTTTAGTAAAATGGCTCATTCAGTAAGATGGTTCGTTCAGTAAGATGACTCGTTCAGTAAGATGGATTCGTTCAGTAAGATGGTTTGTTCAGTAAGATGGTTCGTTTAGGAAGATGACTTGTTCAGTAAGATGGCTCGTTCAGTAAGATGGTTTGTTCAGTAAGATAGCTTGTTCAGTATAGATCATTAGTTCATTAAGATTGTTTGTTCCGTATGATAGTTCTCTCAGTAAAAACGTTCGTTCAGAAAAATCGTTTGTTCAGTAAAATTTCGATGCCCATCTCTACCTCTAATCTCCCCTCCCCCTGGTGTACACTCACTAGCTCACTATATGAATTTAATAAATACTCAAGTACATTGCATTGTCTTCGAAAAAATATTGGTTTGTTCATTCTTTTAAACAATGGCATTTTCTGTTGTATGTACATATTTATCTATAAATTTTCACTGTGACAGTGATGTTAATTTATGTTTATGTTTGTGATTAATATTTACTTGATCTTGTCTATAGGGCTACACAAGTTTAGGTAAGTTCGTGAGGTAAATCAAAGGGCAGTGAGTTGCGGTTATCTAAAGTTGGCCCAGTCTTAAAAATATATACATTGCAGTGATAACAAAAAACTCTGAAATAGGAAGACGACATTTAAAATTAAGTTATAACTTTAAGAAGTCCAATGAGCAGAAGACACAGCAATTGTTTTCACTGCCCATTTAACTAAATTAGTGATTTAATAAGTCTCTAGTAACTGTTTGCTTTTTATATCATCAAATACACTAAAGTATTGCTATCATGTCGTCTTTCTATTCTATTGTTTTTTGGTTATCACTGTAGTAAGATCTATGTGGCAACAATTCTTTGTGAATTTTTGCCACTAACTCAAATTTTCGAGTCCCTATTCCGCTGCAACCTGATAATGTAATCTTTTGATATTTTTAACTATGTTAATTGATCCAACAGAATTAATAGTTTGAAATATCTAGGGTCTACTACAGTCGACATTGGATTGCACAAATTTAGGGATAAGGAAATCAGAGTGTGTGGCAAAGACTCAATTCCTTTGGTACTTTATTTGTACAATTTTGATTTCCAGCAAATGTTTAAACAGGAGAAAATTTTTTATGGATTTTAGGTGCTTTAGGTACTTTTATTTGTACAATTTTACAGGTACATACAACAACGCATTTTAAAAAGTTCCTGCAATTTTTTTATTTCAACAGAAAAAGTGTTATTCAATACAATAAGGTCAAATTTAAATGTCAAAATGTCAAATATATTTGGTGATTTTTTCACATGTGTTATATTATAGTACATTACTTTTCAAGATTATTTCAGTTATACAAATCGAAAGGAATATACAGGGTTACACATAAAATAAGAGACTTCAATGACGACCTATAACTTTTTATAGAATATTGAATATATCGAATATAAATGACGTACCTAATGATTTGGCAAAGACAGAATCAAGAGTATCTGGACAAGGAATGTAAGAATATGAATTCTGTAATTCGCCTTTACAGTCTCATCCTTTGTGTATAACTCTATATTTTTGTAGATTGTAGAGTAGAGTTTTTTACTATGTCGTCTTCATAAAAGTTTCATTTTATTCCTAATTTTTTTATTAAAAGGGTTTGTTGTAAGTTTAACGTTGTTGTTGTTTTAATAGATTTACTGTGTTTTTACGTACAGCGGAAAAAAGGATTAAATGTCTTCATTTCTGTAGATATTGTCAGAAAAATCTTGACTCTAAAGTTTTGTTGAATTTTTGAAAAAATATTAAAATTAAAGCGTTGGGAATGATTATTACATTTATTTATATTCTATCCTTTTTATACTCTAATAATGTGTAAAGATGCTGTCCTTAGATTAAATTAGCCTAATATTAGTATTAGTTCTACCTTTCCTCTCTCTCTCTAATATTCCCCTCCTGCACACGGTATACGTTGCCTCCACAGAGGACATTTAGATAGATAGATAGATAGATAGAGGATATATCGACCCAACCAGCTGGTCTAGGCTCAGTTTAATATATCAACTCAGCTCCAGAGCATGCCAAATCTACAAGATTTATACTTGTTGCTTCTCCATAGTAAAAAAAGATATTATTTTATCATTTCTTAATTTTTTTTCAGAAAAGATTGTGCTACAGGTTCAGACATTATTTCAAACATGGTTCAAGATTGATGACTTAAAAAATAAAGTTAACAGCTGCTGGAAGAAAAAGGTATTTTTAAAATATTCTCAAATCTTTACAAGATAATAATTTTGTTTACTTTTTTTCAGAACTAGTGGCAGATTGAATTAGTGGAATTCTTACTGAAATGATTGTTAGCAGTTGATTTAAAGAAACATCTGGTCAGAAAACCAGTATTAAAATGGTTTCTAAACTCAAGACGGATGATATAGACTCTGTTGAGAGTATTGAAATGGGTCAAGTCAGTGAAGAATCTGAAGAGGAAGATGATGAAGTTTTTACAGATTTGAATACAAAAGAAAATGGAAGTGCAAAAAAACCATTGATAAAAAGTAAAAAGAATGGAAAGAAAGCCAAAGGAATTCATACAGAAATTCGCACAGGCAAACCTCATGCTAAAAGGTGTTGTGGTCCAGTATGTTGTATATTCTTGGCATTTAAATCTTTAATGGGAATTATTGCAATAACAATAATTTTAACAAATTATCTGACCCACTCTAATTTTCTCTTCTGGAGCTTTGGATCAAGTGAGTCAGTTGAGATTGTAGGTTGTCAAAGTATAGAGATTGTACCTGTTTGGCAAGTTAAAATTCCAAAGCTAATAGTGGAAGGCAGCACCAGGATGCTTCATGTGAACAATGATCAAGTGCTAGATGTGGTTTTGGGGTTTGGAACTGGGGCTGATGGCTATGATATTCCGGAGTATGTATGTGATATTTACTTTGATGGACAGAAGCCCTGCTTGGGAGGAATCATAGCTTTGGATGGAAAGACTGGAGTTGAAATTTGGAGACTTTGGACAAAGCATGAAATTTTTGCTTTGACTTGTCAATCTGACCTGGATCAAGATGGGTTTACTGATTGTCTTGCTGGTGGAAGGGCGGGTGTCTTCTTAGCTGTCAGCATAAAGGATGGAAAAGAGCTTTGGTCTTTTGGGGATCATGCCATACAATCGGATTTGATGTCTGTGTTTGCTGCGCAAATTGTCCAGGATGTTGATAATGATGGTATTGAAGATGTCTTGGCTGTTCATGGTGGAGATGCTCTTTCAGATCCCAACCCTTCTGAACATAACTTTGGGAGGCTTATTCTTTTCAGTGGTAAAACAGGCAGACTTCTTCAATGGATGCCAACTCCTGACAGTAGAGAAAGCTTTTACCCCCCACAGATATCAGTAACAGCTGATGGAAGGCAAATCATCATATTTGGAACAGGGAGTAGCAAACATGGGGGAGGACTTTATGTCAAAGCTCTAATTGATCTCTACAGAAAAAATGTTACAAATATTAAAATGATCTACAAGGATGAAGATCAAGGTATTACAAACCCTGCTGCTCTAGCTGATATAAACAATGATGGGATCCTGGACATAATTTTAGCATCCATGCATGAAAATGTTCTTGCTTTTGATGGTGCAACTTTCACAAACATATGGAATGTTAGCATGGAAAGTCACCAAACTGCTAGCTCTGTGTCTGTAGGATACTTTGATTCTGATGAAATCCCAGATTTTATGGTCAAGTATAGCTATGGAGACCAATTCCCTGTATTTGAATATGAAAAAACAGTTGTTCTCAGTGGGAAAAATGGCTCGGAAATAAGTGATCCAATCATAAATTCCCTGAGCATGCAGTCCACTCCAATTTCAATTAGCATGGAAGGATATGGAAATGATATGTTTCTACATTGGTCAATAAATTGCATGGACCATAAAGGGCAAAAAGTAAAATATGCTTTTAGGGCCAGTGCTCACATGTATGAAAAAAGTCAAGCAGATCTTTGCCACTCCCTTTTTGGAACTAGACAGGATGCCAAGCTGATGGTAATGTCGAAGAAATTCCAAGAGGGAATTTCTATTTACAATTCAACAGATTGGGAAAGTTTTGAGCACCTAGATGTTCCAAACACTTCAGCTATGGCAGCAAAGTACATGGAAGAAAATCCAGACCTTAAAACAAAACTTGATCAAGCTGAAGATGACTATAGCGTTCTTCCATATAAAAAGAAAGACTTTGATAACTATATTAAGCTGTTGCAAGAGGAAAATGAAAGAGAATACAATGGGCAACCACCAATCATTGATCCCTCTTCATTGACTTTAAATGAAAACTTGTTGGGAAATATATATGACACTGAAAATGACTCTAATGATAACTCAGTTGGAATCCCGGTGTTTCAAGAGGAAGCACTGGAAGATAATAATATTCCTGAAAAGCGTGTATATAACTACCCTAATTCTGGCTTTGATTATCAACCCGCTGATTATCCATCTGTTCCAGCGCAGTTTCCTCAATATTCAAAAAAAGAGAAAAGAGCCAGATTGAACAGAAGGCTGAAGCGTGGCACAGATAAATCATTCCAAGGAATTCATAAACAATCTGCAACCGCATCATTAGCTCCATCTCTTATTCCTGCCAATGATACCATCGATGTTGTCTTTCCAACCTACTGGGTGTATCCACCTAAACTGGACATCCTTCAACAAGAAGACATGAAATGCGTTGAAAGAGAACTTCGCAATCTTCAAGACAAAAGCCAAGGATCGGAGCGTGAGTCCACTGTGTCCAAAGATATTGATGATATAGAAACAAAATGTTTGAGAAAAAACAAACATTTAGCCGATGATTCACTGACCTATGAAACTCCATCAGACTATGATCCTTTATCAATAAACATGGGACAAATGATTGTGTACAGATTTTCCCTACGGTGTATATGTGACAAGTCAAAACTGAGCTATAACCAGAAATGTGCCAATATTCTTCCCTACCAGAAGCAAGGCTGGCCGGCCTACATGGGGGCAACTGGAGATGGAAAGTTTAAATTTTCTAGGTAAAAAAAAAATTAGACAAAAAATATTTTGCATTATTTGTTTAACTAATGATTTATTTTTAGGAGATAAATGCCATTAAGGAGTTAGAGAAAAGTATTTATTTTGTCATGAAATAGTCTAAGTTTTCATATTTTGTGATATCAAATTTTCTTCCTTTTAAAATCTAAATTTTAGGATAAAATACTGATTATCATTCTCTTTTTTTAATTGGCCATAAGTGTCAATGCACAATTTTGTTAAACTAAAAATATTTTTATAAAGTTGTTTCATACCTCTTCATCGTATCCAGATGTATCAGAATAAAATACACATTAGTATATTTCTGTTGTAAATGTTAATGTTCCCATATTATAAAATAAATGTTTAAATAGTGAAAATAATTGGAGGTTAACATAAAATTATGCCAACAGTCATTTTCATGTTTAATTTATGTACGTTTTTTAGACTTTAGATTTTAGTCATTGGATTAAATAAATATTTAAATAAATAGTTTTACCGAGCCAAAGAATATCAGGTATATATTGCAAAAGAACAGAGGACCCAGTGTCCGACAAGGCCCCCAATGCACAGCTAAGAGATCCATGGCAGAAATCAGCTGATGCTGTTGAATCTGATAAACCCGTGTCAGCTGATGGATCAGCTGACGATCCAAAAGATCTTCCCGCTGCTTGAAGAGTCAAAGCTCTGTAGAGAACCCCAAATGCCACACCAAAAGCAGCTTTAACAGAAAACATAATAAGTAAATGGAGAATGTTCAAAAAATTCTTATGACATGTTATTTATTGCTTGCAAGGATACCCATATTTATTTATTTTTATTTATTAAAAAAATGATTTGAACTCGAAGACCCAAATCGTATATTTCAAAAATATCACTAAAGTTTAGAAACTCTATGTTTAAGTTAAAGCTACCCATTTCGCCAAAAAACTAAAATATTAAATTAAAAGAGTGTTCGCTTGTTAGAAAAAAACCCTAATTTGGTTAACCTTCAGTTTTAGTACGATAAACTTAGATAGTTTCTTAATTTGAAATTCTTGAAATAAGCGAACAATCCCTTTAGAGTAAATATACCTAATATAGACAATAAAGCCAGCTCTACAGGTATGCCCTCTGGACAGCTATCATACCCTTTTTACCAAACAAATCATTTCTTATTTCAATCATTTCGAAATAATATTCGCAATTCAAATCCTTCCGCCAGGTGTTTTAGTCTCATTATAATTTATTTAAAAATCATGTATTAAACAAAAAGCTGAATTTTTTTTTGCACAAACATTTTTTTAACAATTTAGTTTTATTAAACTTAAAAATAATTTTAATAAAATAATTACAAAATTGTAAAACAATACCTGGACAACTTAATATTTTAAGACTTTTTTTGTGAAATTTTGTATTTTGGATAATTGCAAAAAAAACAAGCCGATTACGTAAATTCACACTCAATTCCTGCTCAGTAAACAAACGAAAATAAAACGATATTCTAAAAATGAAAGCGCTTGCTCGATTTAAAAACGAAATCGCAATTTAGCACACATTTTGAATCAAAGGGGATCATTGAAGCATTGAAACATGTGAGATAATTATAACAAAACAATTATTTTTCCTGTAAACATTTCCCGGATTTTTGCTTGTGCTTTGTTCTCAAGGAATTGAGTTTTTGCCACAAATTCTATTCTCTAATCCTTATATATTTGCAACTTAATGTTGTAGACCTTAGATATTTCAAACTATTAATTTAAATATCCCAATTGTTTGAAATATCACAGTTTTACACCATCAGGTTGCAAAGATATAGGGATGTGAATTTATTGCAAAAACCCAATTCCTTTGTTCAAAATATAGTTTGTTTATGGAATATATTTAATATTCAAGAAATATTTAGTAGTTTCTTGAATTTCTGAACTGTCTAGAGCGCTGAAAGATATATAAACCAAGAAGATGAAAATATCTGGTTTGGCTTGAAATAAAGCAAAAATTTCAATTAGGTCTACAATTGGTCTACAAGCTAGAAATGTAAACAAATCTGGGTAAAATCATTTAAACTGATCGTACCATGCATTGTTTATCTCAAAACCGGTTAAATTTCCACAACAAACTATCAAGAGAAGAAAGAGAGAAAAGAGAGTAAAGAGAGAAAAGAGAAGAAAGAGAGAAAAGAAAAGAAAGAGAAGAAAGAGAAGATAGAGATAAAAGGGAAGAAAGAGAAGAAAGAGAAGAAAGAGAAGAAAGAGAAGAAAGAGAAGAAATATTTATGCATACCCTAAAATCCTTTCTATATCATTTCTATTTCTATAATATTTTTGAAAAAGTAAGTAGCTGCCCCCCACTGCAGTTCAGCGTACACTTCTTTAATCATTTCAAGAGATTTGATCAATAAGCATTTGATCTTTTGATATGTTTCCGAAATAAATAAAACTGATTTGATACTTAATTGTTATACCTTTTATCTTTCCACCTGTTGTCTTTGAATTATAATTTATTAATAGCCAATGTTTGAGATATAAATGGTGTTCTTCATCAGGCTGCAAAGATATAAGATTTAGAAAATTTGAGTTTTCGGCAAGTGCTCAGTTTATTCATTAAACAAAACCAGTTTATTCATTAAACAAAAACCAGTTTATTCATTAAACAAAACCAGTTTATTCATTAAACAAAACCAGTTTATTCATTAAACAAAAACCAGTTTATTCATTAAACAAAAACCAGTTTATTCTGCTATTTTACCTAGGATCAAGAAGTCCTGAACAGGATTAAAAGGAGTTTTTTTAGAAGATATAATTGGTACCTTACACGTTAAATATATATATATAATCTGACCCTTTAAAAATAATTCGTGAAAACTGATGGCTTTTTAAATTATTCATTATAAAGTTGTTCAATTAGTACAATTAGAAACTGAATTTAAATGAAAGTGATTACCAGGAAACTCCGAATTAGGAAGACAACATTTAGAATGAAGTAAAGTCCAATGATCACGAGACACATCAATTGGGCAGTGTAAACAGACCAATTTTACTAAATTAGTGATTTAGTAAAACTATTTGCTCTCTAACAATATCAAATAAACTTAAGTATTAACATAATTTCGTCTTCATATTTCAGTGTTTTCTGGTTATTACTGTATGAAAAATGTTTATTAAATAAAGCGTAAAGTGGGTTCAAAAACTTTTGCGTTCTGTAATGCGTAAATAGAGTTTTTAGGACACATTAAACACTCTTAAAATTAACACCTGGCGTCAGAACTTAAATGCGCGATGCAGTTTGAATCTATTGAAATAAGAATTAATGATTATCCCAAACCTCCACCGCTATGGGACCCATAGGAGTCATGGGATCCATAGGAGTCGCCTTTGGAAGTAAACAATCTTCCTTCTCCTCCCTCCTCTCCAATAATATTATAGAAAGTGTCCAACATCTGGGTTCTATTTAATATAGACTCCATTTTAACACAGCGATCTGACACTGACTGTTGTCAAAAAAGAAAGTGTGGAAACAAGATGGCGGTCGGATTCAAGATGGCAGAGAGTTTAGTGGATTTCTACGGTTACTGTATACAGCTGATGATGTTGGCAGATTCTTCAATGGACAATGATTTTTAAAATCATGATGTGAGAAGAAAAATTTTAAAAACGCGATGCTGTAAGGATGACACACTTTCCACACCTCTGTGGGCAATATATCAATCTGGAATATTTCAGAAATGAAAGGGACTGTACAGAACTTTGAACTAGACAACGAACAATAATTTCAATAGAATGTGGAACTAACATCTACTTTTTTTACTCTATAACAGAGGTTTGGTTTATCACCATCACCGAATTTTGAAACTAATGTTAAACTTAAACTTTCCCATTTATTTGTTGTTTTCAGAATATTTTTATCATATTCTTTAATGCAGATAATTTATGGTTTTTCATGGTTCCTTAAAAAAACACATTTCTTAGTTCGAAGTATATACTAATCATTCTGTAATCGTAGGATTAAATAACAAAAAAATATGAAATATTTACCAAACCAAATCAAATCAGGAACATACTGAAAAACCAGGTTCGAACTTAAACCTTCCAGGTTTTCTAACAAAAAGCCTGGTTCTTCAATATTGAGTTGGCTGCGGCTAGAAGATCTGCCAGCTGCTTGAAGTGTGAGAGCTCTGTAGAGGATACCGAACGAGAGTCCGAAAGCTGCGAGGATTGACAAAAGGGCAAACTCAACCGGGACCCCTTCAGGTAGGGTTCTTAATCGTTTCTTTAGCCTTTTACAATTTTTAAAAGGTTCCAAAAAATCTAAAGGTTTTACAAATTTCAAAATTGTAAATTCTACATTTTGCCCAAATTTGATCCTGAGAGGAAACATATGCATACGCAATAGACGATCCATACTGGATTAGTTTAAAACGTTAGCTTTTTTGTTTTGTTTTTTCGACATTTTCTCTTTAGACAAATAAGTTTGATAAAAAAGGAGTTTAAGTTTTTGGTTTATGACAGAATCTCAAATTTGCTATTCCCCTACATCTTTGCAACCTGATGGTGTAGATCTTTGATATTTCAAACTTACACTATTTCTCTAACAAATGTTATTGTATGAAATATTAAAGGTCTACAACATCGGGTTCCAAAGAAATAAGGATTGAATATCTAAGTTTGTGGCAAAAAAGTCAATTCCTTTTAACACAACACAGTTTTGAAATATTGGAAGTTTTTTGAAAAGTTTTTATAACAGAAACCAAACTGATTAACAACCCTACCTTCAGGGCAATATCCTCCATAGCCACCATGGCCGCTGTAAGATCCAACATTATCGATAAATTGTCTTCCTATCGTGACGAAAGTATAGTTCATATTTGTATTATATATATTTTACCCGCTAACCCGAAATTCGAAAATCGCTTAATAGGAATTTTTATGGTAATGATCTTTTGAATTTGGAAGTATTTTGATTTGTAATAATTTATGCAATAATGTATATCACTTTTTTAATTCAAAGACTTTGTACAATGTTCACTGAGAGACAGAACAAAAATGAAACCGTTGATATGAATCTGTTTAGTGCGAGCTAAACCAACATATTGGAAGGATTAAGTGCCTAAATGTTGTTAAATTGTTCCCCCCGGCGAAAGTGAAATTAAGTGCACATTATAGTTTTTTGCCAATATGGCTTCGTCTATTCTTTTGATAAGGGATTGGACAGGATGTGGGTGCAGGGTGTCCCACGAAACATGACAGTTGATGAATAGTTTGGAATGTCGTCTTCCAAATACTGGATAAGATTTAAAAGCTTTTTGCAGTTTAATTCGGAAGAAACAACTTTTACTCCAATATATCTTAATCTGCGAAAGATTTTACCATAATAAAACTGCCAAATAATATTATTCTCTTTAGGCCTTAAATGGTATGACTGTCATCTTTTTTCTTATATATTCTTCGCTAAGGATTTAGTTTCTGTGACTGATGTCTTCATTTAGAAAGATTCAAAGTAGAATGCATTATTCCATTTATCAAAATTAATAAACCCCCCCCCCCCTGCATGCAAAGTCCCCTGGTTAATATTTAGCCTCCCAACACCCAAGGTTACAAGGTTATTTTTTCTAAACTTAAACTTTACATTCTTTATTAATCGAACATTGCCGAGCATTTATTTCTTTATCATTTGAATATTGGGAAAATCAAAGACGACATTACTTGATTTCCTTTGTTTTGTTTTTCACCCTCTTGCCCTACTTTGAAGGAAATTAATTGCTGTGAGAAAAATGTCAAGACATAGTTAAATCAAATCAACAGTTTAACGTGTTTTATAAAATACATTTGACTTAAAGAATTACATTCCTCATACTATGCATATTATACACTTTTAGGTTGCAAAGATATAGGGATTTTAAAAATTTTAAAGCGAGTGTTCAGTTTCTTTAAAAATTAAACATTTCAAGTATTGCAATATAAAATTGCACAAAAAGAATTGAGTTTTTGCCACAAAATCAAATTTTTAAATCCCTAAATCTTTGCAATCTAATGGTGTAAACCTTTGATATTTGAAACTTAGACTATTTGATTTAACAGAACTATATTAGTTTAAAATATCTAAGGTCTACAACGTTGGGTTGCAAAGATCTAGGGAGTAGAAAATCAGACTTTGTGGCAAAGACTCAATTTCTTTGTTTTCCTTGAAACCAACCGAGGTTAAGCGACATTGTAACCATTGGCTTCCTTTGCGCCACTAAAGTTACATTTTATTCACATTAAACCTCTGGCTTAATTCCTTTCATAATCTCTTTACTAGCTTGACAATTAAATATACGGGTGAGGGGATTCAATAAAGGGAAAATGAATCAAAGGCAGAGTTTAAGGGAGTGGGGGGGGGGCATGCACGATGATTAATGATTCTCTATTAGATAATAAGCAATATATAAAGTACTAGCTGAAGGGCCCGGCGTTGCCCGTGGAAAAAAAATATACGAATTTATTATCAAAAAAAAAAATCCAGCCCAATCGGTCCAGCCGTTTGGCCAGCNGTGGCTGTAAAAATGAAGAAATTAATTCTAAAAAAATTACTGTCACAGTGAAAGATCTCTGTAAACCTGAAGAGTATTGAATAAAGTCTAGATTTTCTCTGATTTCAGTCTTTAAAGTTTTTACTTCGCTATCACTACATTCACTTTACTAATACTAGGAGCGCATGTTGCTAAAATCTTCCTGTTCTCCCGGAGATTTCAACGCGGTTAGTTTGAGCGTCCAGTGCGCGACAAGGGAAAGGCGATACAGAGAGTTGGTAACGGTAAAGTTCTAACTTCTAAACGTCATAACGGTCGCTCATGAGTCTTATTTTTCATTGATACAAAACACCTTCTCATACACCCCTCCTTCCCCTTCTTTTTTTGATCATCCTACCCCCCCCCCCTCCCCCTTCTCCACCATATGTTTCTCCACTTCCCCCTCTACAGTTCTCTAATCTTCTCTCTTGGTTTCACGGATCCTTAAACGTTTCCCGGATTTTATCAATTGTGCAAAACTATGATAAATGTGGACAATTGTAATTAAATTACAAAGAGGGTTAAATTTCAAATTTAATTTTAATAGTTCCATCTATGATTTACAAATCACAACGTACCCTAACAACATTTGTCCAAATGAAAACTTATATTCTCAAAATGCTTTTCTTCAAATAAGTGACTTGAGATTATTTATAGCAGAAACAAGGACGGAAACTGACAAATGCATCTTTTCTCATACTTGTCAGAGATGCAAGAGTGAAAGGATACCGTTGTGTATCGAGCATGGTCATTTTTGGTGTGTTCTTGCAAAAATAACAAATTTTACAATAGGTTGATTTACCCCTTCCTTTATATTTAAAGATGATTTATTATTATGATAGTTTAATGGCTGAATGGGTTTTAAGAGCTGTAAAAATAGATAAGAGCATCTGTAAAAAGTTGAATGCAATTGAAAAATCGGACGGGTGTATAATGATAAAATTAGAACAATTATGTTGTATAATTTAAAATTGGCACTAATTTGCAGGCAGAGTGCAATCTCTAAATTGTATCTTACAAGTTACAATGCAAAAGCAAATATTTGCCTACAGTTTTATATGCTAATTATGGTTTTTTAAAAATATTTTCTTTTCTTAAATTTTGCATGCGATTCCATTAGCGCCTGATCCAATCAGGGTTCAGTCATGTGTTTGGTGTCTATTCTGAACCAATAGAAATTGCATGGCGGTATCATCTATCTTTCTATCATATCTCTTCATACAATTAGAGATGAATCCTTATATCGGGGCTAAACAGTAAATGGAATATTTACTTCTACTGAAACTACAGTGCTTAAATTGTACACGTGTAATGCGATAGGACAGGGAGGGTTTCTAAATTTAAAAAGAAAGTTATAGTAAAATAATAACAAGATTAAGAGTGAAGCAATGTTTTTTTATCCGATAATTATAAGATATAAAACAATAAAAAAAAGTTCACGGATTTGATAATATTTTCCCGCGCATTTACAAAATTTAACAAAAATCTAAAACTATTGGACACAAAGGAATTGAGTCTTTGTCATAAACTTTGATTTTCTAATCCCACATATCTTTTCAACCCTTTGTTGTAGACTATAGATATTTCAAACTATAAATATTCTGTTAGATCAAATAATCTAAGTTTGAAATATCAAGGATTTACTCCATCAGGTTGGAAAGACATATGGATTAGAAAATTTGAGTTTGTGGCAAAGACTCAAATCCACTGTAATTATGAGCATCCATAAAATAATCCCTGGTCTGGGGTTATGTGAGATCTCACACAAAATTTGACGTTTTTTGGTTACAAACAGACAGACAGACAAACAAAGTACATACATAGAAGAGCCTAGTCATTATTTCGTATATTTTTAATCATATTAATCATAATTGTTACTAACAAATGCTACACAAAAATGACTGAAACTATATCAATTTGAAAATTGTATTCTGTGAACGCATGACCAAACTTAACGATTAAAGCATGTCTGACTATTTCAGTCCATTGGTAAAAATTGCATTTCAAACCATGTGTTCTCTCACCTGGAATGAGATGAGCCATATCCAAAAAATCAAACTGAAATGATCTTCGACCTTTTGCCAATGCTGCTTGTACCAGAACAGCTGTTTTAATCATGACAATGTTAAGAAGTCGTTTTTTCAAAATGACAAAAATTTGTCTTAAGTCTGTATAGCTGTTTTTAAAAAAAAAACCTGTTACCCGCCTAAAATTCTGATTTTCTGATAGAACATAATTTGAAATTCAGTGGTTTTCGTTATCAGGTTGCAAAGATATAATGTTTGGAAAATTACTGTTTGAGGCGTGTAATCTTTTTTTTTGATATTTCTCATTCACAGATACCCAAAGGTTGCAAACTCTTATGCTGAAATCGATGGGAATTTTGCCAATTACTTCTTAATAACTAAAGTTTTAGTTTTAAAATACACATTTCTATGGCTACAGCAAATTTTCAAAATTTCGAAATTCTTTTAGCCTATAACACCCCCGGCCACCCATGAGTGCCCACAAAAATTTTCAACCCAATGGTCCAGCCGGTTGGCCGGCTATAGACAACATGACAACATGTATATATACGAATGTCTTTTTTTATTATTTAGATATTGTCATTCCACCTAGAGCCCCTGCTCCCGCGGCTAGAATCAGCAGTAAATTCGGGTTAAGAAAGTCCCCTGCTCCAACATCTGCGGCCGGAGCCGGGCACACAAAACTGGCATAACCACCATAGCCTCCATAGCCTCCGTAGTCTCCACGGGAGACAGAGGCCATTGCATAAGAGCTTCCTTGTCTATGGTTGGATATATTTTGACAGTTAAATTGAAGGTTTTGGTCAATTAACTAAGAAACAACTTGTTTATTTATTAACAAGTGGGATACACCAATTTCCAGCTCTATTGTATCAGTATTTTTCCTTTTTGCTTTTTTCAACGGAGAAATATATACCAATTTCCATCTATGTTCTAACACTAAAAAAGACATTTTTTTTTTCTTTTGGTTAGCTGTCAATAAAAGAAACGTACTAACATAAATAAATATATGATTATGCTTTGATAACAGGTATAAATTATTTCTCATAGTATAATTTTGTACAACCAAGTTAAATTTTTTTCAAAATGCTCGATTTTCGGTTTAATCATTTTTTTTCTTCTCTAAATTATATAAATTATTAATAGACCCAATTCCTCAAATCTGCCGGATAATCAGGCGTTGAAATATCGTTGCCATAGCTATCCGTATCATAGAGATCCATTTTAAACCCTTAAACTACTCTGGAATGTCCTACCTGTATTAAAAAAGGCCAAAAAGTCTTGAATCCCCCCTTCTTGTTGAACCAGGTTTACAACGGAGTGCACATCTCCCAATACCTCCCGCCGACGACGTTTACGCCCAGCCTACTTTCACCCGGATTGTAAAAACACCAAATTTGAAAAAAACTAAATTTTAAAAATTTTAATAGAAAAAATTCTTAAATTTCTTTTTTGCAATCTTATTTCCCTGAATAGCTGCAAAAAGAGCAGCAGCGGCTGCGGCAATTGCCCCTAATCAGAAAAAAAAATGCTCATTGCCAACAGAGTAAATGTGAATCAAGTTAACAAATACTAATTAAAAAGCATCAAAAACAGCATTGTTTCATTCCTAGAATAAGAAGGGTTCCAAGATCAATACCAAGTGCATTTCCTGCAGCTGCAGGGGCAGCTGCAGTTGGGCAACAGTTGCAATATCCTCAATTCAGCAAATTCAAAAATGTATTCAAACACTTTTCATGGATTTTTTAAGAAACTGCAGATGCAAATTTTAAATGACCGACTCCCTAATGTTCCTTTAAGCCTTTATTTGATCAAAAATGTGAAGGATATTCTTTTTTTTTTTGCAATTACTCATGATCAATTTTCAAAGAGAAATATATTAGATATCTAACGCATTCTTGATCAGATAGAGTTTTTAAAGGAACCGTGTCAGTGAACCTCTAATTAGTATTATTAGTGAATCACCCGAAATTACATCTGAAGTCCCTGTAAGTTAGGAATCACCCGAAATTACATCTGAAGTCCATGTAAGTTAGGAATCACCCGAAATTACATCTGAAGTCCATGTAAGTTAGGAATCTCCGAATTGTGACGGAATATAATTTTGAATTTAAGTTCCTTGGTTGCCATATCCTGATGAGGCAGAAACCCTTTGGTCGTTGAACTAAAATTCACAATTTATTTTCTTTAAAATGTTAAATTTATTCCACCCTATTCATAAGAGGGGGTCTTATTTTATTTTAAGAGTGAATTTTTGTTCAAACAAAAAAATAATTTGTGCCTTGTAAAGATCGGCGGTTGAACGATAGGACATTCCAGATTGTATGTTCACCCTGTCAGATTAAAAACTAGATTAAAACTGACCAACCATTAGTTTTCAATTCAAAAGATTTAAATTTCTACAATATTCATTGAGTTTCTATTTAAAATCAGGGTGTCACCAACATCTTGTAAATTGATGAAATTAACAATTTTTAATTAAAAAATGTTAAAATTAAGCATTGAATTTAAAAAATGCAAATTAGTAAAATTAGTGAACCTTTTTTCTTTTGTTTTTTAACCCCCTTCAGCTGAACTGAAAAAAGAGATATTTCTGGATGATTTTCAGTTTAATCAATTGATGGCTTAACGAGTATTTTTACGTGGTTCAGAAGTTAAAGAGATACATCCAGAAAAAGTTACAGAGAACTTTCTTTAATTAAAATCTTGTAATATCGTCGATATTTGTATTAAAAATTTACATACATTTTTTATATTTTGGATTGAAAATGTAATTAAAATCAATTAATTAATTAATCTTAATAAAAAAGATAAATTTAAGGTCAACAAGAAAATTTTAGTAGAACCCCACCCTCCAATTCACACTTTCATTTCTCCATTTTTTTCTCCAACAATTTCTTCTTTCTACACACTTTCACTTCTTCTTACTTTATTCTCAAACTCTTATCTTATCATCTGCGTGCCATTCCTTAAAGGGAGTGTGAGAGTATTCTTCAAGTGGCCCTCTAGTACATGCAAAGATAGCAATGCCCGATTCTCAACTTGAAATCTTAATCTAATCCAAAATGTGGGAATTTCTCCATTGTTTCTTATACGCAAGAAATGCGCAAGTCACTTTTGCAGAGTAAACACAAATGAAATAAACAGTTTTAATCAAAAGTATAATGCAAGGAAAGTTAAT